CAGATCATTATCACAAACAAGGAGGCCAAGAACCTTCGTTCATCTGCGTCAGGCCCGAGCAGGGACCAGCATCGGCCAAGAGTGGCCGTGGTCGCAGCGGCAACGCCGTTAGACCAAACCAGCGAGGTTGTGTCTGCCAGGGAAGGAGTCAGACTCGCAGCCGCCCGGGAAGGTGGCCGCCCCGGCAAAGGCCAAGAACGCGGCAGGACGAAGACACACACCGCATCTAGCCCCGGGCTCGGTGCAGCAGCTCAAACAGGCCCATGGACCCAGTATGGCATCTCCGAGTCCGCATTCAAGGCGCGCGAGAGATTCCATTATTGCCTTTGGTGCAACAACGATCTTCACCAGACGCAGGCTTGCCCATTGAAAGGCAAGGGCAGACAGGGAAACTGAGCACCGCCGAGAGTGACTCGACGACACTCTCGACGCCTTCGGAACCGGTTTCTTCGCGAGTAGCCGGCCTTCATTTCGAGGCGCATGCGGAAGTCGATAGTCCTCCTCTTCTACTTTCTTTTGAGGACTATGCTGCCCGGCTCGTTCCAACGCTGGGTACTCAAGCTCAAGGACAAGGAGTGTGTGCGGTTTCTTCTCCGTCCGACAACGGCGACAGTTCGTCTTCAAGTGGTTCTTCACGGGATTCGGCGCGCGAGTTCAACATAGAGGCATTGGACCCGCTCACGTCTGAGGACTTTGCATGGCTTCCTCTCCCGACCACCGGCCGATTATCGGGACCGCAATGTGCAGCACTTAGCGCTAATCTTCACACTTACCTATCCTTCTATGCACCACCAACTTCGCCGACGGATGACGAAGTCGCGGTGGGGGACATCTTGGCGTATACTACCAAGGTGGCCCGCGAGTTTCGCACGCAGCGGTACGATGACAACAACGGACCGCTGATGTATGTCCGCATTCAGGTTGGGCAAGCGTCCTGCAGCGCTTTGCTGGATAGCGGCGCGACATGCAACTTCATGAGCCAATCCTTTATGCAAAGGGCTGGCCTTGGCGCACAGGTTCGGAGGAAGGCAAACCCGACGACGATCAAGTTGGCGGACGGTAAGACGCAGCAACTTCTCGACCGTTACATCGAGGCCGTACCGGTCTACTTCGCACCTCATGCATGCGAACCGGTCACGTTCGATATTCTCGACACGGACTTCGACATCATTCTGGGAATGCCTTGGCTTGCAAGTGCGGATCACACGGTCAACTTCCATCGGCGGACTCTTAGCGTTCGCGACGCCTTCGGCGCGGAAGCGGCGTGTACTGTTCCTCTACCGCACTCTTCGATCCGGTGCCAAGTGGTAACGGCCAAATCATTCCGGGCGACTTGTGCCTACGAGCAGCCCGATG